ATGCCGGTGAGAACAGCTGATGGCGATTTGGACTGATAATGGTTTCCTTCCCTTTTTATAGTGAGACGGAGAGGAGCGGAAAGAGAGGGAAATCAGCTGGGACCGACAGCTGTCAGACTGTGTTCAGTCATAACCTGAGAAAATTGTAAATAAATGTGGAACCTGGTGATAAAGACCTGTGTGTGTGTGTGTACCTGTGTATAGTGAATTTCACAACATGAAAGCAGTGTCATGGAGCATCCTGACCAAAAGGAGGAAATACAAACTTATCAAAGCACCTGAAAGATGTTTCCACGTCTGTACAAAGAATTCATGCTAAGGGGGTTTCAGGTGTTTGTTAAACTTGGCAGCTGTGAACCAGTTGGGATCAAACTCCACCCCTCCAGCTATCTGTTACAAAAGGATTAATTACTTTGTCGGGGTGTGGAGTTAGCTCACAGTTTGGGTAAAATGGAGATGGACAGATTGGCATTGTACCGTCAACAAGTTGAGCATTGTATAACGCTACTGAGGAGGCAAATGACCCAGAAGGTAAACTTCTCAACCACGTCTACATTGAGAATCTCACCTATGAATATGAGCACTAATTAGTGATAAAAATGTTGAGTTTGAATAGCAACTCAAATACAGTTGTTCCTCATTAGGTTTGTAGCTACCTGAGGAACCGAGATAAGCAGAAAACTAGAGGGAGCTTGTAGATGGGGGTGCTCTGAAAAGAGTCCGTTGAGGCTGTTTGAGCATGCTGGGTGCCTTCAATTGGAGTTTTTTCAGGCACACAACTGGGATAAGATGCAGAACATGTAGAGACTCAGCATCTCACTTGTCAGGATCTCCCAGGAAGAGATGGTAAGTGCTCTTATATAGCCATTTATGTAACTTGCCTCATTCACACAAACACTGTTTGGTATCAAAAGTGCATTTTACCGATGGATGCGTCAAAGAGAAACTTGGGGTTAGGATCTCACCCAGGGACGTTTGGGTAAGAGCTGGAGCTGCCAGGGATCAAACCTCCCATCTTCTGATTAATAGATGCCCCACTTTACCTCCTGAGCTACAGCCACCCAGGATGGAAAATGATCCTGTGTAAAGGAAATTCTAACTACCCTGTTTAGCCAGCTGCAATCTGACTCTGTGCACAACAAATGGATGAATGAATGGATAATGGAAATAGTGGAGTGGAGTGAACGTCTGCCATCATGCTACAAGATGAGTTGACCACTAAGTGAAACTGAGAGAATCTATTCAAGCAGGACTTACTGAGGCAACCTCAGGGTTAACTTTCAGTGTTCTGCAGCATCTGTAATGTCTGGAGTCTGCATTTATTTAATCTCAAGTTTTTCTAAGACATAAAGTTTCCTTTTCCTTTGTAAAAAGCAAGAAGTTGGTCTACCAACACAAAAGTATGTTCTATGTTTACTGGTTAGTTTTACAAAATAAGTATTAGGACTTTGGATTATTACAGCTAAAGTTTTCTTGTTTCAAAAAGCATATCATCATATAAACACAAAAACTGAAGATGAAAAATTCAAAGGATAAGCAAAACTGGCATCACCTGCATCTTCCTTTCTTTGATGTAGGCAGGCTCAGCATAGCCACAGAAGAAACGCTTGTAGTGCGGCCCCAGCAGGCCAGGGACAGAGCGCAGCAACAACTGCAAGCAGACAGACATATCTTTTTTTCTCAGCATGACATGTACACATAAATCCATCTGAACGTAAAAGTAATGAAAAAAATGAATCAGATGCGGTGAATCTGAACTGTTGCTACTCCCTCTGGGGATTAAAAAAGACACACGTCCACATGCCAATGATTCAGTAAGTGATTAAGCTTTTCCACAAAGACAGATTTATCCAGTCAGATGTCATATTAATTTGTACAATTTCTTACACTTTAACTTAATACCGAAAATTTAGTATTTTGGTCTAGACAACCCAAAATGTGATGTCCACATATGTGGACGCCAGGTCCTAGGACACCAGGTCCTAGGAGGTTTTAATTTCCTCAAAGTAGCCACTACTTACCTAATAATTTTTTAATAATTTTCCAAGCAGCTTGTGACTGCCCTCTGGAATAAGGAATAATATCTTACATTATTGAATTTAATTCTGTTATATTTATGCAGTGCCAATTTACAACATATTTGTACCAATCTGAATAGGTTCATTCTGTTCTCTGGTCTGATGACAAGTCTCTTTGTGATAAGGTGAACTGATTTGAATGTGTGGTTCCCACTATGGAGCTAGCAGGGTTTCTAGTGACAATGTTGAGGGAAACACTTTAACCAGCAGGGCACTGTTTGTTTTCCAGCATGACCAAAAGCCAGTGTTGGGGAGTAACGAATACATGTACCGCCATTGCGTATTTAAAATACAAAATATGAGTAACTGTATTCCATTACAGTTACCATTTTAAAAGGTAGTATTCAGAATACAGTTACTTTGTTGAAAATAATGGATTGCACGGCTGTATTTTCCTGTTTCATAAGGCTATGAACTCTATATTTTTGGTGTCCAAGCCGGTGAAAACACAAACAAAACACGCATTAAGAGGCTCTCATGTCTGTGTCTCAATCTCGCAGCCCATGTCACCTCTATTTGCGGCCCGCATAATGGCGTGAAGAAATATTTTTAAAAAATATTCACAAAAATGATTTAATAAGAAGGCAAGAGGCAGAGTGTTACAGGCATAGCCCTAAAGAATGTAGCCT